AAAAAAGAAACAGGCAATTTCTCAAGGAACCTTCGGAAAAACTGGTCGAACCCTCCTCCCTTGAATTCGAAACATGAAAAAAGGCAGGCGTGTAGTCGAGATTAGCAGTAGCACACGCCTCGTCGACGCGTAAATCTGTCGATTCCCAAAAGGAGGCGAATAAAGAGGAGCACTTTGACGAATCGCAGGGGGTCTATTTGGTTTGGTGGGCCCGGGGCTGGCGGAGGGAGGGGGGCCGCGTGACAGCAATAAATCAGAAAACTGTGGCCGGCGATCGATCAACCGGCGCGCATCTATTATTGGCTGAAATAAAAGGAAGTCAACACACGCAAACACGCTCACAAAGGGAACAGAGAGCGAGAGAGAAAGGGGATCACAGGGAAGAGGAAAGAGAGAGAGAAGTCTAGAGAGAAAGAGAGACTCAGAGGGAAAAGGAGAGACTCAGAGGGAGAAAGAGAGAAACGCAGAGAGAGAGAGTGAAATGTAGAAAGAAGGGGGCAGAGAGAGAGAGAGAGAGAGTGAATGTAGAAAGAAGGGGGAGAGAGAGAGAGAGAGTGAAATGTAGAAAGAAGGGGGGAGAGAAAGAGAGAGAGTGAAATGTAGAAAGGAGGGGGGAGAGAGAGAGAGAGAGAGAAATCTAAAAATAACGGGAGGGAGAGAGAAAGAGTGAAATCTAGAGTGAAAGGGAGAGAGACAGAAATCTAGAGAGAAAGGAAGAGAAGGAAAGAAGTCTAGAGAGAGAGAGAGAGAGAAATCTAAATAGAGAGAAAGGGGGTGAGAGGGAGAAATCTAGAGAGAAAGGGAGAAGTCCAGAGGGAGAGAGAGAGAAGTGGCCGTGTCTGGAAGTGCATTTCATCAACGGTCTAGAGAGAAACGAAGAGAGAGAGAGAGAGAGAGAGAGAGCGAGTGGTAGAGGTTGGCGTGGCGGGTCGAAGGAGTGACAGAGGGGCCAGGGGAGAGGGTGAGAATCAATAATGTCGAATGAACGCTCCGCACGCTCCCACGAGTCTGTTGATTCTAGCCTTTGAAAGGGCGACGTAAGGTCCTTTTTGCCATTGTTACTCGTCGATCGTTTTTCAACCAACCATGTCCTCTGTTATACTGCACAGACTATATCTCTCGCGATAACGATATGGGATTATCAAAGAGGGACGTAGAAAGTAGAGGGTGTTGGAATTTTTTTTTTTTTTTTCTTACTTTCAAATATACCTTCGCAAGTTTCACCCCTTGCCTTATGATTTTTCAACGGATATCTCTTTTTTAATCCTACGTACTCGTCCCTTTAAAAATACAGTCAAACGAGGAACATTAAAGAATTACGTATATTTTCTGTTTAATCATCCTCAGGCTTACGAAGCGGAGCTGAACTTTTCTTTTCTTAAAGAATTTAACTGCCTCAACCTTTTCACTCCAAAATTATGCGACAGCTACGTAATTTACGTAATTTTAAACGTTTAAATTTTTAATTTGCATTCATTTGGCAACATTTAAAAATAACGACAACGTAATATAATTGCATGAAATATTAGATATAACCGAACCTTGAGTTTAACCTGCGAAATGTAAATAAAATATTTCTTTCTAAGTGAAATACGTTTTTAGTCGACATTTATTTCGAATACTTTATAAAAAGACATGACTGCTACGAAAATGAAAATACAATCTCACAGATACAATAGGGTTGACGTATTGTACGTAACACAGATCCAGAATAAAAGACTTGATTCGCTGCAAAAAAAAAAATCCTTTATTTCTTACGTTACGAATTAGTGTGTACGACGATCGTTTGGGAGCGAACAGTGATGATTCGCGGATTCGTTGGAGCGGTTGCGACGAAAAACGCGATGTGACGCGCGTTTGCGCAACGGCGAGGCCGCAGTGGGTGTCGAGCTCGCGCGTCCGTTTCGCGAGCCGCGATAATGAAGCTGGCAATTAGCGTATCCGCCGACACGAATTCGGGCCGCCGCCTGATGACTCCGAAAAGCTGGGTGCAATGCTTTGGAAAACGTTCCTCGGTCATATATCTCTCTTTTTTTGGGGGGGTTAATTGTCCCCCGTAGCTAAAAATTTATCGCAATTTTTAACAATAGACACCCTCCCCCGGTCAAAGGTAGGAAAATTTATCCTTGCAATTTGCGTTTGCAATTCACGCTCTTTTTTTTCGACGAACTTTTCCTGTGTTCGAGTTTCAACGCTGGATAATCGTGATATTAATCGTTCAGCATGCGGAAGCTCGATAGAAAATGGAGCTGTATTTTTTGGAAGTGTATGTCACAGTGTTGATTCATCGATCGAAGGTAGAAAAATTTATGGTTGCAATTTAATTTCAGTTCGTTCTTCTTTTTCGACGAGCTGTTCCATGTTCGAATTTCAAAAAGTAACGCTGAATTTTTTGGTTCACTTCTGTTGTCGCTTGGAAGTGTATGCAACAATGTTAATTAATTAACTGAAAATAGAGAAATTTATCCCTGCAATTTAGCGTTAATTCGCCCTTCTTTTTCGGTTCATTTCTGTTATCACTTGGAAGTGTATGTCACAACGTTAATTCATTAATTGAAGGTAGAAAGCTTTATCCTTGCAATTTAGCGTTAATCTACTCTGAGTTCAAATTTTAAGTAAACAAAACTCTGTTGTTCATTTCACATCGATTATCACGTGGAAGTGTATGCAACGTTAATTAATGAATTATTCAAAGCTCGACGAGTGAAAAAGAAAAAATGGTAGGATGCTCGGTGAAAAGGAGCCCGTACAATGGGGCATTACGTGACCGCGAAGAAAATGCAGCTTGTTATTCATGTGTTGAAAGTCACAGCAAAAGGAAGCCGTTTAATCGATGCCACGTCGTTCTTACATATTTTCGACCTGAATTCTCATCTGGGCAAGGTCGAGCTGTTCAACAATGTGGAAAATCGAACGAAAGGGAGAGAAACCGCCGGGAGTAAATTAACTCGAAGGCAAATTGTAACCCGTTTGAACTGTGTGTTACACTTCCGCTCGGAAATGAACAAGAGGAGGAAAATTCCAGCGGGAGTAACGAATTACGCACGATCGTGTGCACGATGTAACAAGTTACTCGTTCGTATTCGTGGGAAAAATGTTCCCCTTTAAATATTCAAGTAGAATCGAAACGAACGACGACGGTTGATGGTTGCTTTTCATAAATTCCACGTCGTCGCGTCGCGCCACGAGCCACGCCGCTCTCCTGGCACACGTGTTACATAACACTTCGCGCCATGTTAAAGACCCGACACGGTCGAGCGTAACAATCGATAACGGAATTCAATTAAATACCACTGCTTCCCACTGAATTTTTCCATCGACCACTGTGCGACGAACGTGATTACTCGAAATGTCGTCGTTACGTAACCAAGTGTCATCGAAAATATTCTACAATTCGTCGTATCGAATTATTCGTGAAATTTCGATAAAATAGATAAAACAGAAGAAAAAACATTGTACGTTTAAAAGACAGTTTTATAGAGAAATCGTGGGATTTTCTCTTGCGCGTTGACATGGGTCAACTTGTGGAATGCATTCAACATGTACTCCAGCCCCAGGTAGAGTCTTCTAGCTCGACGCAGTTTAAGTTTGCTGGCTAAAGCGCGTATTGTTTCCTAAATTGCGTTCCTGAAAGGACCGCCTTGTGAAATAGCTGGTAGTTTCAGGTTCGAGGAGTTAATTGTTCACGTTACATTTCCCGGCGGTTTTTCTCGGTGTCGAAAATATTCTTTGAAATTAGTAAAATCATCTGTGAAAAGAAGAGATGTTAATTCTGCGATAAATAATCCTGCAAAATGAAGGAGCAACAGAGTCTAGGAAGAAATCGACGTTCTCCAAGCCACTCCATTAACCCTCATTGGTTCGCGAGAGAATAGACAATAAGAACCGCAAGATACTCCAACGGTGTACTCTTAAATGTGCATGCAACAGCGTCTCACCGCCGCGAATCAGAGCCACGCAAGGCTGCACGCCAGCCAATTCCGCAAAATCCCCGTGTCCCCGTTCGTCGTAGCGCGAAATCAGGCGGGGAGAGTGGTTCCGAAAAGGGGGGAAGGAAAAAAAATAGCCCGGCGGACGCTTTGTTCGTAAAAAGGAACGTGACCCAAATGGGACGAGAGGGTGAAGCGAGGAAGAGGAATCATTCCTCCCCTTTCGCCTTCGATCCGCCCAAAGATCCGCAGTAGAATCAACGATCGGTTGCTGGCGGGTGTGTCGCTTGTACGCGTGAAAGTGTGCGTGTCTGTCTGTGCGTTTGGTGCACACGTGTGCGGCGGTGTGTGCGTGCGACGCATGGTCGTATGGAATCCGTTGGAAAGGAAGGTCGAGAAGCGAGAGAAACGTTTGGAAAATCGTTAAACACCTCTCGATTCTCTCTGTTCAGCGCTTAGGAGGAGAAGAGAGACTGCCAGTCCTGTCGAAAAGGTGATATTCGAGCTGTACGGCAGTTTGAATCTCACGGGGGAGAGAGAAAGAGAGAGAGAGAGCGAGCGAGCGAGCGAGCTGCCTCGTGTTATCGTCGCGTTCGAGTACCGCAATTTCTCTATAGCACACGGCCCGATCGTCCAATCGGCGGGTGTGTCAGCCCCCGTGGCTCTCGACGCATGGCCAGACTCTCCAGCATCAGAATCTCGCACGGAGGGTGAAAGTCTCGGACAAGCGGAAATAAATCATGTGGGATGGGTTAAGCGCGAGATTAGAATCCGTGGAATCCGGCCAATGTAGGGCGTGGCACACGGGGGATGTAAATAGAGAGAGAGAGAGAGAGCGAGAGAGAAGAGAGGGTAGAGATGATCTAACGGTATTGTGGACGCATGTATCTCTCGACAACCCCCCACTCCCTCTATCTGTGGCGTTCCAGAAGATTCGCTTTAACCCCGACACGTGGAATTTTATATCAGGTTAGATCGGAGGGATGTTTGGGATGTTCGACACCGGATCGTGTCGCCTGGTTGCTAGATTCTTCGTTGTTGAAGTTAGAGATTCTAGGTTATACTACTCACCATGATAGTAGAGCGCACCAGAAGCGTTCAAAGGTGGTGGACTAGGTGCAGTGGCACCAGCGGTTGGACTATGCGGACCCCAACAGGTCTGCTGATGATCGACCTGTCTGCTATCCGTGTCTCCTACCACGTCTATCTCCTCGTCCTCTGGCTCATGCCTGTGCTGTCTCTTCTCCAAGGATGCCGACGTCTGTTGTATACCGTGGTTACCCTGTTCCTGCATCATACTCGACGGATCGCTTTGCTCCTCCTGCTGTGGATCGTCGACACGATCCGGCCACGGATAGGCCTTCCATTTCTTCGCCATGAGGCAGCGCGGCATGTTGACGCAGTTCTCCCTTACCGTAGCCGTCACACCGACGACGACCCGCCGTTGTTTCGTTCACCAGGAGTGGCCGTTCACTCCTAGGCGACAACGACGACGACGACGACGACGGCGACGACGATAATGCTGTAGATCCGGATAATGCAGCAGCAGTAGTAGTATCCCTGTCACGAAAAACCTCCGGCGTAGTTACACCACTAGCAACACCCTCACCAAAAGCACCAAACGCACCACCGTACCGACGACGATCGACGATCCCGAGGACGTCGTCGACTAGCGCGACGCCTAGCCCGCCACCGGCACCACTGTCGCCGGTATTGCGTTCCTCGTTACCACACCAGCCGTCGACCACGACGATGTGGTCGTCGATGTTGCGACGCCGCCGTCTCCGTCGTCGTCGTCCGTCACTCAACGCCGTCCTTATCTGCGGCCTGTCGTTAACCTCTCCCCGGATGATACACGGATCCGTAAACCACGGTGCGGTCCTCTTCGTCCTTCCTTGCTCACGTTGGGGCGTGATCTGCAGCCTCGTCATCGGCACAGCGAGGGCAGCTCCTTCGTAGGATGCACCGCCACCATGCCAGCCTGTCTACTCAACGAGACTACCTTCCTTCGACTTTTCCGGCCTCACCCCTTTTTCTCTCTTTCTCTTCTCCTTTTTTTTTCCAACCTTTTCTTTTTCTACAAAAACAATTCTCGTTTCTCGACAACTACGCGCTAGAGACGAACTAACTCTATATATTACTACTACTTGGGGTGCCTACTACCGATTCTTCCTTCTCTAGCCCTTCTTCCTGTTACGTCTTCTCTCTTCCCCAGCGGTTCCACTCGAATTCCTCTCTTCGTTCCTCTTGCGCTCACCTCTCGTCGTTCCTCTCTTCGTATATGTACATGTATATCGTGGCTGGGTTACGTCTGTGTTGTTCACTCCGTTCCTTCCTATCTCTCTCTCTCTCTCTCTGTCTCTCTCTCGTGCGACGCAACAACGCGTTGTTCTTTTACAACACTCAACTTTTTTTCGCTGGCTGGCTGGCTGGCTAACTTGAAGCGGACCGACTGACTGACTGACTGACTGACTGACCGTCTGTCCGTCCGTCCGTCTGTCCGTCCGTCTGTCTGTCTGTCTGTCTGATACTCTCTCGGTCGCTCCCTGTCGCGGCTCTCGCCAGTGACAGGGGGTGCCCTCGAATACGATCACAACGACGGGGTGCGACTGTTTAGTCGGTGGCGCTGCCGCTCCGCTGCTTATCCCCTACCTTGCCGCCGATATCTCTCTTCGTTGTACACCTCCAGCGCACACTCTATCGCGTTCTGCCCGATAGGAAACCAGAAACCCCCGTCGTCCCTCCGTTGCGGCTCTCCCCTTGAGTCAGCATCGCGGAGTGGTGGCGCTGCGATCGCCGCCGCCGCCGCCGCTGCTGCTGATGGTTTATGCTGAAGCAAGGGATGGCTGCGCAACCCCTCGAGGGTACCGATGCTAGTTCTCGATTCCTGCAGGCCTTTTCATTGTGTGTGCGCGCGGCCTCCACGTTTGCGCGGAACCGAGCGTGTGTGCACCGACCATTGGCGTAACCTAACTCTTTTCGGTAGACCTGGAGGATTCAGTTGGAAATTTTTGTCGTTTCTTTTGGATTGTTTCGAGGTGGTTTGTCTCGTTTTCTTGGATTTTTGAGAATGACGAGGATAGTTGTTCGATAGGAGGTTAAACGAGGAGAGTGATTTTTTGGAATTGGTTTTAAGAGGGAATTTGTGAACCCTGTTAGGTGGCGCCATTGCGAGGAGACGTCGAGGGTGTACGCCAGCGAAGCGTCTCTCTCTCTCTCTCTCTCTCTGTCCTTGCACACTCGCACACTTCGTGCAAACTCGGATTTATGGCAGTCCGTTGGAATCGTATGCTTACAACAGGCTGCTTGGTACATTTAACCAAATCGCGATTACCTTTACCAATTTCTTCCATCGTTTCGCCATTTTCTCCGCGCGTACTGTAATCTACCGTTTAAACAACCGGTTCTCCACAGATTAAAGCAACCTCTCGAACACCGTGAAAGAGATAACCAGGACAGATATCGGATAGTTTGATCGCGGCTTAATTTCCTCCGGGCCGCCGGTAAATCCGGCCGAACGGAAGCTCGTTTAAATCCGGCCGTGTGTGCGCCAGGGATGGAGGTTAGTGAACCCGACTGGGCTGGTGGCAAAAAAGAAACCGAGCACCGAAACGTCCGCGAGGGACGCGTGTGCAAGTGGTCGAATGTAGACATCGAAGGGAGCCATGAAGAGAGAGAGCGAGCGAGAGAGAGAACGGAAGAGAGGAACAGCTGGCCGGGCCGCCACGGGCACCGGCCTCGTTCCTCGCGTCACGACGAGTGTGTAAACTCCCAGGGGTGAGGGAGGCCGATGGTAATTCCTATGGAAGATTGGCTGCATAGTGGTGACGCTATGTCGGCCGATACGCGACGCGAACTTGTTGGTAGCTGGCTGTCGGTGTTGGTGCAGCCTCGTGAGAGGGGCGACAGAACAGAGAGTGGTAGGAGGGGGGAGTTAGTATAGGTTGGCACACGCTGGGGTGAGATCTCGAGGGGGCAACCTCTATCTCTCCCCTGTTCCGCAAAAAAGGGGGTAAGTCGCGAGGGTGGTGGTGGAGAGGAGCCAGAAACGAGAATGTCGAGTGGTGGGGGTGTGTAGCGACGGTCCGTCGCGCGAGGGTAGCGTCGACGCGTCGAAGTGGTGGGGGGGCGGTAAGGGTAGAGCGCGTGGAGGGGAGGTGGCGCGTGCGCAGTGAATCAGCATCGACCCGACGTCTAGGCAACACCTGGTAGCGCCCCACGTGCCACGTTAGGGTGGCACCAGCCACCCCGCGCACGCGATCCCTCGTATCGAATATCACGCTGGCCTTCCTGTCCTGTCTACTGACCCACGCCAACCATGTCTTTCATCGTCGAGCTCTTTGCCTTGCCTTCGGTTCTCCTAATGGGACTCTGAACGCGCTCGCGCGCACACGCCTCTGCACATGTATGTACAACTACGGGGAGACAGATCGGTACGTGGCGCCTCTTGAATAACCGGTTCCACGCGTTTTTACAGCGATTCTTTAGAAGGGGGTTGCGTCGAGTGTTCTGTTGCGAATGGAAATTCGAGACGGCGGGCTTCTTTTTTCCGTTTCTTCATCGATTCCACAGGTCCGATCGATGCAACACGCGCGCTTGTGTATACGAGCTTGCACACGAACGATAAGATCTGTTGTTTGCTAACTGCGGCTACGGGGGATGATGGAGTAGGAGACGAAATATGGTTTTGGGGAATTTGCGGAGTTTAATGGAGGGTTTATTGGATTGGTCCGATGGAGAAGTGGTGGGCTCGGTTAATTTATTCCCTGTTACTCGAACGTGAATCTTCTTGAGAATTTCTATTTATAAGCGGTTTATCGATATTTCAATACGATAAAACAGTTTCTCTAATTCGTTTGACTGAAAGAAAGTGTGCGTATCGAAGAAAACGTGCAAAACGTGAGATATTTCTCGTGCTGCACCTCTTTCGTACGCCGCAAACAGCCGCAGCTCGTTTCTCGTAAACAGTCGACCGCAATTTCAGCCGCGACGAAAGACTTCCCGCGGCGACGATCGCAGCCGCGACAATATCGAAATTGGTTCGTGTTTTGCGGACAGATGTTCCCCGCATGTTCCAACGGAACTCTCCTCGTCTCTCCTCGTGTCCTATTTACCGACTATTGTCGCTCTTCCAGCGGCGCGCAAACTTTCTAAGTGGCGTCGCGTAATAACCGTGCCATATGACGAAACCGTGCCGCAACAGCTGATGCATCTCGATTTGCAAGATCGATCGTTGGGAAACGTGTTCATCGAACACCCGTCCGGATGTACCCTAATCCCTACCTAGGGACGTTTCATTTGTGCCTTTTAAGCAAATCTGTTGTAACACAGGGTAGCTTAACCGTTCGTGTTCACCGACGTCGTAACTTCTGTTCGAACAAATTGTACAACATCGCGAAGGAAAATGAAAAGGTGGAGGAAATTGTTGAAAGGCTAAATGGAGTTTGTACAACGATATACCGCGTAACTCGAAAATTTTTCACCGGTAAGGACAATCTGGTCTGTAGAGAAAGTTACAAAAAGCACTCGAACCGTGTAACTTCACCGCCAGGCAATATAACCAGAACTTCCCATTCACCTGCTCGTTAATGGAAGAAAAAGTGGACTCTCTAATGCACTAGAAACAATCGAAACAATTCCCGGTGCTGTTCATAGAACATTCAGTAATCAACACAAGTGCTTCTATTCTTTGCTCGACCCTATCAATCCCCTTCCATCGGCAAATAAAACAGTCCAGCCCTCGTTTACTCTCATTTCGCATAATACGATCCTAACTACTTTTACTTCAAAAAAAAAAATTCACACACAGACACGCACGTGCGTGTGAAACATTTGAAAATAGCACAGAGGAAATCCTCTTGGATTCATTCGAGAATATTCTCTGCACGCTATCGTTAATCCCTTTTTTTTTTTTTCTGTTCGCCGTATGAATAAACTCGTCGATCCGCTAATAGCGTGGACTATTAATTGATCCTGGTGACGGAGAGAGAGAGAGAAAAGGTGGAGAAAAAAATGAACGGTTGTGTGTTTCATTCATTTCGAGCCACACGTATTAATTCCGATCGCGATTAACCCACGCTCGGAATCGAACCGCGCTATCTCGCGGCACATTCATCTTTCCATCGCTATCTAATCAATCGCTAATTAAACGGTGCCACGCTGGCTCTTGTTGCACCACCTTTCCCGTAACCGTAATTTATCCAACGTGCATCCTCACAACCGTGTGTCACGCCTACGCGCCCTCCGCCGAGCTAATCTCGTTTATTGACCCGCCGCAACGCTGCTTTTTTTTCGTCATTCGCACCTGCCCCCGCACACGATCTCGCGGTGGACGCGTTTTTTTTTCTTCTTTCCTCTTCTTTACGAGTTTCCGGATTTTTCGAATTTCAGGGGTTTCCGAAGGATTTTCGGTTAACCTTGCAACTGTGCTTTTCTTTTATTCAATTCCTGTTTGGGAAGGTAGAGTGCTCCTTTTGGTGACAAAGTTGGGTACAGTGTGTTGCAAAAGT